CGGTAATCGTGTCTGCAGAGAAAAGTGCTGCTGATGCAGTTCAAGCGGTCACAAAGAATGGCAAGTGGCCCTGGATGGGCTGGGGCCCACCCAGCTTGTCAGCGCTTGCACTTAGGGTTGCTTGCAGCCTTCCTACAGAAGCTGCAGCCACTGAGTAGTTTGCTAAGTCTCAGTCCATGTGCGCCGCATGGGTGTCAACCTTGCTGTCAATCTGGGTTACTTATTGCTGTTGTTTTCGTCCTAACAGCAGCATTATGTCACACCAGTACTTTTCCTAGGAGTACTTTATGTTTTGTTATTGTTAATACCAATGTTGCCATTGTTGGTTTTCAGTCTTGTTGTTTTTGCTGCTATCATAACTTGAGCAAGACCCTGCTTGTAAAGCCCAGGCCACATCAGAGCGTCGTCGCGGTGCTGCGCGACGCAGCGCGGACGTTGCCAAGGCACGACCACTACCATTCGTGCTTCAGTGAGAGTGAGCGAGTAGATCCCTCCTCTACAAGCCCCTCCTATCATCCTTGCATTCACCCCGGCACTCCCCTCCCCAAGACTTTTGTTGATGGACGGAGTCATTGACAGTGCCATGGTACTTTGATTCCTGGGTCTTGGGTACATGGGATCATGCAGTTTGCTCACCAACCCTAGTAGTATGACCCCTGGCTGGAAGCATTTGTTGTCCAAAGTGGCCAGCGTTGATGAGACATTGCCTTGGCTGCCGGAGGCAGACGAATCTGCGGACCAAGAGAGGCCGAGCCGTTCTTGGTTTCATGTGAGGAAGGTTGGCTGAGCCGTTTGCACGCATAGTTTCAGTCAAGTACTCTAGTACAAAGCGCTTGTCGACCTTGAGGCCCACCTAAGCGACTGGCACTGCATGGCCGGGACTCCACACCATCCCTTGTATGCCTCTGCTAGACCTGTAAATACATACATGACCCCTCTGTCATCTCCACAGATGTGGAAAGTTCCCAGAAATGGCTTCTCCATATCCTGGCGATGACCAGGAAGGGGCCGCAATTGAGAACTGCTCTTCTGATCCCTCGTTGGTGCTCCCTTGTCTCAATGCCTTTTGCGTCTCAAGGCTTCTTCGAAGTACTCTACTGGCTGCTGGTGCCGGCTGCCTTAAGATTCTGATGGTCATAAGTCATAAGGGTTCCTCGCCGAAGGGGGTCCCTTGCAGAGATGTTTCGGGACTTTTTAAGGATGATCGGGCTGTGAATGAAATAGCATCTGTGATTATTCTGAGAAATGTCCAAATCGCTATTTCCCATACGTGCATCAGCATTTTGCCTGCTAGTATGGGCGGTAATCATGGAAATACTTTGGCTCACTGTGGACATGTCTTGACGCTCCATTGCTGCTCTGGTCCCCCTTGTGTTTGCTCCCAGGCGCTCGCCATCTTCCAGGGCAGCGCCGAGGGCGGCACGTTGGGCGTCCGGTGCTGAGGGAGAGCTTGGCTCATGCGGCTGAGGGTTGATGGTTTAGGCTTTGCAGCCTGGAAATGCATCATGAAGACTTTACAGGCGTCCTTGGCTAGGGAACTGTTGAATTTTATGATCCTAAATTGGTTTTGAAACCTCACCTGCACAACACAGCAGCAAACAAGGAGATTGGAGGGCAGACCTGGCACACCAGAAAGTAGGACATATACGCAAACAGAGAGAGAGAGAGAGAGAGAGAGAGACAGAGACAGAGAGAGAACAAAAAGAGAGGGAGGGAGACACGGTACGTGCGCTGGGAGATTTCGTGGAGTTTTTTGCATAGACCAGGAAGCCTTGAAACCCGAAGCACTTGGTGTCTGCTTACGGTTGCCATCTGCTTTCGTCATGTACGCAGGGAAAATCCTCACTCAAGTTCACAGCAAGGTTGAGTGGGCAGGAAGCATAGAGCAGAGTCACAGGCAAGAAGGGAGAAGCGGTACAGGGAGAATTAGCACATGGTTGATTGAGTGCGTGACGGCTTTGACGGGCTTCCTTGTTGAGCCTTCGTTTTTGCTCAGTGCTGTTCGAGGAAACTGGCCCAGTGGAGTGTTCATGCAGGATTTGGGGGTGGTCAGAGACATTCAAAGTCATACTGAAGCTCTTTGGCTTCGATCTGCAGATTTTGCGGCAATATCTTGACAAAGCATGTGTAGGGCGGAGCTTGTACCATTGTGTACTGTTGCACCATCAGTTGAAACGGCTGTGACCTAGTTTTCACTGGTGCTTATCTTTCAAACTCTTTGCGGTGGGTATGTTTGTGTGGAACACAAAGGCCGGCTCCATGTGTGTGCTCCTGCGAGCGCTGATGTCCAGGCCCGATGCCATGGGTCTAGGGTTAGCTGAGGGTTTCTGTCGCCATTGTTGTTCAATTGCGGGTAGTCCTAGGGCTGAGTGGGGTAGTAGAAAGGTTCTAGGTCAAAGACGATTCACGCGGTCTTAAGGCTGAGAATCGTAATCAGTGTGCTGCGCATGCATCCCAAATAAGGCAGTCGAAATTATCGGGCTGACTACTTCGACGAAAGCCCTAGTTTAGCTGTGCCCTTTCACCTGTCGCGCCTGAAAAGCTGAAGCTTTTGATTACTACCTTGCTACTGCTCGAGTCTAGCAGTTCCATCTATCATCCCTTCCCGGTGCCCACCTTCGCTGCAGATTCTAACAGGTACCCATTTCCCACCTCAACTCAGTTTCATATCTACAAGTTTATTCAACTTACCCTAAAAGTATTTTGCAGATACCAAAATTCGTTGAACACGCCGAAATGGTTACGATAATTGCCTACGCCCAACACTGTGCTCCCGATTGGGGCACCTCAACAATTGGGGGCCAGAAAGGGTTCTCACTTTTGAGCAGTGCCCTATACGAGGATCAGAATATTATATGATACACATAGAGTCAGCCTTTTGAGTACGTGCAGTACACAACACCTGAAGGTTTACACTTGAAGTTTTGCGCACAAGAAGTCCTAAATTATTTGCGGAGCCTCCACATGAATCCCCCCACACCAACATACAAATCCTGAAAGAACAGCCGCTTCTTGTGGAGGTTCGTGGATTCAGTGGATTGTTGTAAGACTGATGTTGAGAGGCCATGAAATTCCCTTCGGACACGGCTGGGTGCTGAACCTCATGCCCTCAACCCTAGAAAGCTCATAGTGTCTCTGCAGCCGTAAAGCTAGTAATAGTACAGCGCGCAATTAGTCCTTGCTTCAATATCCCAAGCCCCAATTCTAATCATCGTGATACCCAACTGGATGGATTCATTCAATTCTGTTGAGCACTCTCGAGACTAGGTTGGCACCCCCGTGTTCTCCTGCACGGGGCGTGATCAGGCTTGGGTTCCAGATTGAAGGGCTGGGGCTCAGGCTTTATGGTTTCAGGGGTCAGGGTTGCGGGTTGGAGCGTGTTTAGCATTTGAGGCTGGTGGTTCATGTATCGGGATGTAGCGTGCAAGTAGAGCTACAGTGTTGTCCTACTGAATCATAATCCCTGTGACTGTAACCATGAATCTCCAAGAGTTGCCTTTGCAGTGGGTCCTGGAATGTTTCAAGAAATTTTGTTGGGGTGACATGACTGGATAGGTCTCATCACAAGGCTCTCCCAGAAAAAAGCCAAGCATCTATACCCAAAGTCTGGGTTAGTTCTGAGGGACCTTCACTGCTTCTACGCTTTTGAAACTCGCTGACTCACAAGCAAAACACACATTGGGGAAGGACTTTTTCCGTTACGTACTCAGGTTCTGTTTTCAGGCAGAAATATGCAATCACACATATTGGCGCCCAAGCTCTTTTTATATGCCACGCACCTTGAACAGTTGTCCTGATGATTGCCGTCCTTGCTGTTGTTTTGCTTTATGTCGTGTCCGTGTTCATTTTAGGTCGCTTTCCCTCTCATTGAGAGTGCTCTGGCTGTAGAATAGACACCGAAATTTAAAGCCTGAGCATCCTGCGAACAGACGCCCGCATGCGTGCCCCAAGCTGCCAGCACAGCCCCAACCCTCAAACCGTCTCGGGTTTTGCTGAGGAGCTGGTTGCGCAAGCTGCGAATCCTCCGCCGTCGTGGTCAAGCCTCCGCCGCTACACTCAATGCCTTACTGGTATGTAGAGACTCGGTTTCAAGTACTAGGGAAAGTCACATCGCTGTCGGGAGATAAGCGTATTCCGGTTCTGTAATTGATTCTCCTGGTGCTTGGCAACCTGTCTGTCTGTCTCCACCTCCAAAACCACCGCTACTAACCCGCAGAGATGTTTGAATGCCATCAAGCAAGGCTAGTACAAAACGATGGTAGCAGTAGTGAAAAGAACGGCTTTGCAGTGGTGGCAGTAGTAGAAGTAGGCACTGTAGAAGTAGCGCGCTGCTTTAGCATTCAGTCTTGTTGAATTTCCAATTCCCAGGTTTGTGAATATCAGTAGTACTGGGAAGGCAAGCTTGATTAATTTGCTGATGCTGTCCAGCATTGGTACCGACGCCAAGGTACCGCTGATCCGGGATAATGAGCCTGTGCCGCAGAGCACAATGCTGGAAAACATGTGCCCGACGATTTCGAGTGAGCCTTCGCGAATCAGAAGCTTGAGTCTCGAGTTGCGAGTTATGCTTGTGACTTTGCATGAGCATGTTGGACAACATGCGAGACTTTTCTCCAAAATAAGCCCAAGTGTAGAGTCCCCAGTCAGGACTTCTTAATCCGCCTACGCTCGCCGCATACTGACCTATCCCGTGTAAACTTCTCTCGCAGTCATGTTGGTCCGCGCAGACAAGTGAAGCAAGTTTCGCACGAGAACAACGCTGCAAGCCAAAACATGAGAGGCTGTTGGACAATAGCAGCATAGGCTTGCCTTAGAAGCTGCAGTGTCTACAGACAATCACTTTCATGAACGTTGCACCAGCAGTCTTAGCTTTACAGTACAATCATCATCCATTTTTATCTCTGTGCCTGCGAAGCAATAGTTGTCCTTTGCACTGTTTGTGTTCGTAAGCAGTTGTCTCCAGAAGTTGCGGCCCTTAGTGGTTGACCGGCACGCACGCAATGGAAGCAGCTGCGCGCCTCGCTCTTTGAACCTATCAAGGGCTATGAAGGGACAGGGAGCCATGGAATGTTTAGAGATTCTTTGGGCTTACCGCCCAAGAGAAGCTAGGGGATATTATCCTCCACCCCGTACTTCCCTTTTGCTTTCAGATCCAAAAGAGCGTCCAGCATGTTGTCGAGTAGATGTGTCCTAGAGTCGCCCTGAACACCTAGAATGTCTTGTTTGGGCTGGCCCCTATACCCCAAACCTCTACCCCAAAGCTAAAGACATGTGATATTTGCAGCGAATTGCAGCCAAGGTTTGTTGCGCCATCTGCGTTGCCAGTGCCTCCCACTATCCCGGCCCCAGGCTGGACTTAGGGGTCCGCTTATTTCTGCAATATTGTTGGCGGAGTGTTGGCGGACGAAATCCTGCATGATCCTGTGTGTCCAAAGTGTGGCAGCTATGCTAACACAGCGTGACTCGTATCCACGCTCATCCAGGATTTCATCCGTGAACGGACCTAGACGTTCACCACGGCAAAGTCTGGATGGACGGAATTACGCCAGTTTGTGAATTTCGCATTCAACTTATGCCGCCCTCAAAGTACCAGGAGCCTTAGCATCCGGAGCCTCAAGCTTCAACACCTCAAGAACCACCTATAGGGCTGTTGGGGACGAAAAGGGGGTACAATCCTCTCAGCCCTAACATCTTCTCCCCAACCCCCACCTCCCCACCCATAGCACCCAAAGCCCACACTCCTAAACCGCATAGGTTCCGAAACCCCTAAAGTTCTAAAGCCTAAAACAAGTCATCACCTTGACAAACTGTGCCAGGTTTGCCCAGGCATGGTGGCGCGAAGTGCCAAGGCACACCAGGCTGGCCGTCAGTTTCTCGCGGGATTGTGAGCTTTCTGTTAGGGATTAGGGTTTAGGTATTAGGGTTTAGGTGTTACGGCTTGGGGATTTGCTTGTAGGAATTCGGGCCAGGGTCTAGGTTGTAGGAATTAGGGTTTAGGCTATTGGGCTTTTGTGCCCTTATTCAGGGTTTAGGAATTAGAGTTTAGCTTTTAGGGATTAGGGTCAAGGAACTAGGGTTTGGGCGGTTTGGGGATTAGGGTTCAGGAATTAGGGATTCGTCAGGATTAGGGATTCGGGTGTAGGAATTAGAGGTTAGGGTTCAGGGTTCGCTTTTCGGGACTAGGGTTTAGGGATTTGATCTTGGGGATTCTTGTCTGGCGACTTGCTTTGAAGGATTACTTATGGATTAGGGCTTGGGACCAGGAATTTGGGATTAAGGGTTGGGGAGAGAGATTTCCAGACAGCCCTGTGCAAGTCGCAGAGAAACCAGTTTCACAGGACTGTCCGTATGACCTCTGGCAATCCCAAGGCACCAGAAAGAACGCCACGCAGCTGGATTTCCGAAAATACGGAGGTTTCCATCCCAAACCCAAGATCCTGAGCCAACTACCTGAAGCCCAACATCCTTGACTTGAGCCCAAAGCCCCAAAGCTTCAAAACCAGTCTGAAGGGTTTGACAGTGGCTCAACTACGACATACCTGCAGGCTCATACTGTGCAGTCGCTGCTGCTGCAGCCGTGTCGGTGGCGGTTACTCGACGAGCCAGGCCTGGATTGCAGGTTTCGGATTTGAGTCTAGGGCCTAGTCTTTAGGGCCTCTTGAGACTTACAGATGGTGGGAAGGGAAGCGAACAGCACACGGATAGAACGGCAATGTTGATCAGAGTTGGTGGTTGAGGGTTTGGGGGCCGGTGTAGGCGAGTATATAGCATGTAGGGAATACTCTAGGGATCCATTACTCCATTGTCTGTCTAATTCAGTGCCGCTTCAGGCTTAGACTCTGGGATTTCCTTAAACCTGGACTCTTACGAAGTAAGGCCTAGGCTCTGGCATTTCTACAGGGTTTTAGGGTCTGGTTGTTCTTCATGGTTCTTCCGTGTTCGGCTTCTTTGAACGGTCTGGACCGCTGTCAGGCCAGGAGGCTTACCCTGAGGTTCTGGATAATTATACGCTGTAATTTATAAGTGTTGTTCGAAGTGTGCTGGCTGTTTGCCCATTGATCTTCTGCGCGGGACGGCGGTTTCGGCATCCAATCTGCTTCAAACTCGCACCAAAATCTCTCAGAAGGCCAGTGTTGAGATTTCCACCTGTTCTTGCACCACGCAAAGTCAGTGAGTGCAAAGTAGTCTTATTGGCGGCAAAGGAGGACGGTCCGGAAGGGCCCCACAAGATGCCGGATCCTTTTTTAGGTTTTTTTGAGAGTGCATCGCTCTTCCAAGCCGGCATGACTCCAGCCTTCCAGGCGTGCTCGCGTTGTCCGACAAGCATTGAGTGCGGGGCCTCATGTTTGGTTAGCATCTGCGAATGCGGTTCAGGCTTTCAGGGCTTAGAAGCTCATGAAGCTCAGCTAAACATGCTGTAGTCTCCGATGCTAGCCTTAATTATACCCAGTCGCCCAAGTCCTTGATGCAGTCACTAACCATGTCATACGTGTCAATATGCACTTGTGCCCTAAACGCTCTCAAGGTGATAATCCTTGGGACGAGCTCAACAAGCAAACCAGGGGGACGGGCAAGCAGCGAAAGTCGGAGGTGCAGGGCACTATGAACTCAGCTGTCGCCGCAAGAAGATGCATGGCACAGAGTCGTCAAGCACCTGCCCGCTCATGAAACTGATGTGCACAGGCTGGTGCACCTTGGTTTGTCCCTGGCTGGGGCGACGAGGAGGATGAGGCCGGTAGCTTCCGAGAGCCACCCTTCTAGTGAGCTCAGAACCCCGCATCAGGATGACGATGATGAGGAGGAGGAGTTGGAGCGCAAGAAGCCTGTGGAGGAATCGGTGTACCTCAAATGCAGAAGTACTAGTCCTGCTTCAGACACGGCCGCCGGCTCCATTGGGTGTCGTTCTGAGGTACTGCTGTTGGGTCATGCCCAAGAAGAAGGCATCCGCGATTCTGGAGGTATGGACTGCCTGCCTGGCTGAACCTACTCCTGAAGGGGGGGGTGATCGTATAGGGACCTTCAACACCTGCACCGTGATGGCATGGACAGCATTTTTGCGGAGGAGTGGGCCGAGGAGGAGGAGGCATCAGACGAGCACCTGGGCTTGCACGGGAACAAACCCCAACGTATACACCCTAGTCTAAGTTTTTAGGTCGTGGTTGCTATGCTTCAAGTTTTCGCTGTCCAAGGCAGAAAGACATTCTGCAGCCCGATTCCCAGTGCAAAGCAGAGGGAGCATACAGAATTTAGACATGGATTGGCCGTCATGTGAGAACTACAGCGGATTTCTGTGGAGACTGCACTGAGTACATCGGAATCGTCTGGGAACTGTACAGGTTATGATATGTATATGATGAAGGGAACAAAGAGATGTTGCATGGCCATGTTCTCAGTGGGCTCAGGAGCTTGGCATCTACGGAGTTTAGAGATGGATTCACGGCCCTATCCTTAGAGCGCAGAGAGGCTGAAGCCTTGTACGCCGTTGTACTATTTATGCGGAAGTCCTTACAATCATAATTATAATTACAATGCAGGTTCTCGTACTTGAAGACTTGTGTTACCACCGAGACTTGCGGTGCCGGAATGACCACCTTCAGCCTACGGGGAATTGTTGTGCGTGCTTGATTCTGCAGGGCCCATTGTTTTGGAAGTATACGTCCGATCCTCATGCCCCCTTCATCCCATATCCCTTTTCATCTACGCATCATGTCATGTCCCTCTCATAATGTCTCATGGGATAACGCACTACCAAGGAGCCATATTGGCATGCATGCTCCTGTTGATGATATGAACAGGTGGTTTGTCACAGAAACCATGGTCCCTCCTATCTCTCCAGAAGCCAGAACCCCCTTCACGTATATTCTGCTCAATTTCGCGATTGGAGCACCCCCTAAATTCGGCACAGCACGGGTCTCCAGATTATCTGGGCTCCGACCATAAGATGAGTTCCCAAAAAAGCCTTCCCGCTGTTGCTATCTTGTAGTCTATGAAGTCTGGAAGTACCCCGTGAAACCGGAAGAAAGCCTGTTAGCCTGAACTGAACAGGCTACGCACGAAAGAAAGCTTGATGCCCAGAGTTTGAACTCCCCCTGAGCGGATCTTTGGACTCGCAGGTATGGGGCCTCAGCCACACCAAGGAGGGCAGAGGCTTTCTCCGGGCTGACTGTGGGTCAGAAGCAGATCTTACCAGAAAAGACCTCTAACTGGTACAGCTCCAACCCGCAGTGGCGCAACCCCGACCGCAACCGAGCTCACACTGAAAACTGTGCTTCTACCCACATGGTTTAGGCTTGCGGTGTAGTAGGGCTTAGTTGCAAGAGTTTTTGGTTTGGGTCTGATGCTAATTTCCTCTTAGATGCAGTTGAGGCAGGAAATCTGCACCACCAAATGAATTATCATGCGATCAGCGTGGTCGAGGATTTCTTCCATCAGCAGTCTTCCAGAAAGCCAATGCCATCCAAAGTAAAGCAAAGTCGCCGCAGTTTCTCCAATCTATCCTTCTAGAAACCTCAATAGAGACCCATTGTCACCTCACGACACCATATCTCTTCGGGGCTAGGGTACCCCCACTTCGGGAATCTTCAAGCCCTAAGCCCTATAAACCTTAAGGCTTAAACTCAAATGATCAGTTTTCCCGATCGATCCCTGCATGCTGCAATTTTTAGAAACCTTCAGATCTGTTTTTCTGTGAATCTTTTGCAGAACCCGGCTTCTACCTCATTCCGCCCGGAGATCCGGAGGCATGTCTGCGCTAGGGTTTTGGCATTTGGGATTAGTTGGGTACATCTGCAATGTTTCAGTGCAGCGGCTACGTGTTCAGGATCTTCCGCGCTGAAGAAGAAAGTTCATGAATGGTGCCTCAAGCCAGGGCGGGATTGCCAGAGCGAACGAAATCACGGAAAACATCAGCACTGAACGACTAGCGACTAGCGCGACTCATCGAAGCTGTGCTGCTCGTCGTTTGGCTCGGCTGTCAGATCCTGACTGTCATGGAGGCAGTTGACGAAGGCCTGGGCCTGGTTTGGGTTCAATCAAGGGCAACCAATCTGCTGGCTGTGGTTCACGTATGTCGACCTCGGCATGTGCTTGTAGAAGGATGCAGGAACAGTAGGAAAGCAGGCAGCAGAGCCGTGGGTAGCTGAATTGTGTACAGACTCAGCTTTTTCAAGCAGATATGCCTGTCAGAAAAAGTCGATGTCCACCACGTGGCCGTCAGTGCAGGACCTAGAGGATTGCTGTTGCCTACACGGGAGCTGCACATTTTCATGCGGCCCTTCTTGGGTGCTCCTATCATACGCAACATGTGGTCCTGGCGGTGTCTAAGCGGACCATCATTCTGCGAAATACCGTCACTCAACCTAGACTGTTAGAACAAGTTTCGGGACGTCAGAAGGCCAGAATTTTTGGAACCCAAGTGATGATGATGGTTTAGGGTTGGGGTGCTCAAATATGGGAGGATGCCCTGCCTAGTCCTCAATGGGCCTCTACCCTCTTGCTAATTCGCATATATCCCGAGGTCCCGAAATATCAGCAGAAGCCCGGGGACTCCGGTCGTCATCCAGGGATCACACTTACTGTTGATGGACAAAATCCTGCATGACCTCATGGTACGCTCATGCCTAAGCCACATGCTTGCATTCCATCTTTTGAGAAGCGTAACTTACTACCCAGCAAAATCCCTGCATAATCCTATGTTGGGAACCTCAACTCCTCATCGCCAACCCTGACCCTAAACCCTAAACACGGAGCCCTAAACCCTAAACCCTGAACCCACCCTACCACCCTACACCCCAAACTCTAAACCTGTTAGAGGCAAGCCCCCCGCACTGAGGGCCCTCGATGAAGGGGATGGAAACGAAGCAAGCCTTCCTGGACTGGGTTGAGTCCCTCCGGCCGGTGCCCCAAGACTTTCTGAGATCAACGATGACCACGCCCTCCAGAGGCTTCAAGATTTGAAGGTGGGGATACAAAATCATTGAGGATCAGGGTGTAGGATGTCAGATTTCGGATGCAGGAAGTTTTCTGTGCTCTGGCTTCTTGCAGTTGACGACGTGCCATGCATGCTTAGACTGCTGCTTCGACAGGCATTTGCTTTTGCCCTTCCCAAAAAACCTTATTCCCTGCACCCTTAATTGAAACCTAACCCAGGCCCCAGACCGTAAACGGTAAAAAAAACAAGCCGAGTCCATGCAACCCTAAGACCTTAGACTTCCAAACAGAGTCCATGGAGAGAGCCAAGCCCCAGGCCCAAGATGGTGGTGGTGAAGCGACCGACGGCCAGTGGGGGGAAGGGGGTTAGCGATTTTACAGTAGGGTTCAGGGCCAGGATCTTGGAATAACGTCTAGGGACTTGGGTTGAGCTGAGGGTTTAGGGATTTGGGCTGAGGCATGAGATTTTTGGGATGGGGGTTCATAATTATGAACGCTATCGCGCGCCCGCCTCGGCCGGCGGGGTGCGGAGCACACGAATGGGTCATGGCATGTAGTTGACACGTGGGTTTAGGGTCGAGGGAGTAACGGAGGCA